GGAGAAAGATGAGGCTTTCTGCTCCCATAAAGATTTACAGCCTCGGAAACCCTGTACAGGGTCGCTATGAGTCAGAACCGACTCCACATAACAACAACAACAACATGCCACCTTTTTGTAGAGTCCTGGTATGGTACTGTAGGATAAGCACAGGACTGCTAACTGCAGATCCGCAGTTCACACCCACCAGTTGCTTCTGGAAAACCCTATACATGGTTGCTATGAGTCAGAACCAACTCAAAGGCACTTTAACAACATGCCACTTTTAAAAACTGACAGTCTGTTCCTTTTTAAGTACATGCTTTCTTTGGCTTCTATGAATTTATCTGCAATGTTGGGGATTGGGTTGGCCCAAAGAAGATATTAACAAATTCTAATATGATCCCTCACCTGTTTTCTTTCCATCTCTCTGGCTTCTCATTTAACTGTTCAGGTCCCCAAGGTTTCAAACTCTCTCTCCCTAAACAACACCATCTATTTATCTTGATATCAAGCGCTATGCAAAAGCTAATGGTACTCAAATCTGTATCCTGAGCCCAGCACTTGTCCCTGAGTGTCAGAGCACACAGATATTTCACAGGCAACACAAATGCAGTATGTCCAAATGAGAACCCATATCCTCCAAACCCTACTGCCCCAGCAAAACTTGTCTTCTGTGCTCCCTCTCTTGGTGAAACTTCTTTAAATATCCTCAAGACCACCCCTTTCAGTAGGATTCACAGGACTGGGAATATAGCTATACTCATGGCTAAAACTCATTACAAAGGGTACTAAGCAAAATAATGCGCTGGACTGCAAAATTTGTTTGAACCGCAAAATTGGCGGTTCAAGCTCATCAGTTGTTCCTTGGAAATCCTATGCAGGGTCGCTATGGGTTAGAACTGACTCCACAGCACTTAATAGCAAAAACATGGCTAAAACTCATTACAAAGGATACAAAGCAAAACCAGCAAAGGGAAAAGGTACATGGAGAAAGTAGGTACAAGTTACCAAAAGTCAACTCCCAGTGAAGTCCCACAAGACATGCTTAATGACTCAAGCAATGCATTGTAACAGCATGTGTAAAGTGTGGCCTACCAGGGAAGCTCACTAGACACTCAGTGCCCAAGGCTTTTACTGGGGGCTGGACCTGAAGAAAAGCAAGGGTTCAGTATAAACCATTCCTCTGAATAAAAGGTTTAGTTAGGCATAGTGAGCAATTCATTTAAAGAAAGCTTTACACCAACCTGGTAATTGCTTACCAAATTCCTAGATGCCAGTCAAAGGTCAGTCTTGCTGGCAACCTTCCTAAGTCTCAGCCTCAGGCCTCCTATATTTTCTCTTTTTTTTACACATTCACAAGCCAAACTGAAACCTGGACATAATCCTTGACTTTTTCCTCCTGGTGTTCATACCCAAACCTCAAGCCCATTTGATTTTACT